ATTAATTTAATAGAACAATGAAGATATGAAAACAAGAAATATTTTATAAATTGACTTCGGACTTCATGAAGCGAGGAGTAGATAAACACAACTATTTACTTTTCTATAGAATAATTTCAATTTTTATTGCTAATTATTTTACTTTGTTTATTTTTTTGTAAAACTGTTATTTTTAATAAAGTGACTCCTAATTAAAATGGAACAGAATCGATGTAGATTTAATTATTACTTTCATTTATCGCCAGCCAAATGTTGCTTTGTAGTCTACGTGAAATTAATGGATATAAATAATTTATGAAGAGCTTCATTAGATAGACTTCTCCACTCCCCCGAAAGATATTCTATTAATTTATTCATAGTTTTGAGATAGTTTTTTAAATTCGGCAACCCAGGCTTGATTAGACATTTTAATAGTATTTTAAAACTGTCTACTTTTCCGTAAATATTAAATTAATATATTTCCAGAAACCATCTCTTTCATTTCTTAAAGAAGGGAATCGCTTTCTGTATTTATTAGATTTTCTTAAAAAACACTCTATATAACAAAATGCTGTTTACTCATATATAACATATGTTCAGAAAGAAAAGAAGAAACAGAAAACGCTCGCAAAATGTACCAGAACTTTCACAATCGATACTTACTTGTAAGAACTTTCTCCATGAAGCGATATAAGGATTATATGAAACTAAGCACAAACTATTTATAAATCATTACCGGAGCTCTGACAGGGCATTGCGGGTTGAATTATCATCATACAAAACCGGCAATGTACTGTAGTGTAAATTGTAAGTTTTACACTGAAAAGGTAAGAGCTTTATTTATGTGCTGAAAATCTGCCTGTCACTGATGCAGAACCAAGACACACTGATGCACAAAAGATACAATAGATTTCTAGACCACAGTGGTAAATCTCCTAACGTAATATTAATAAATAAATTACTTATAGGTGTGTTATAAACTGTTTTTGTTTAGTTTATAAAAGCATTGAACTTTAATCATTACAATTGGAATATGTAATAGTATGTTCTCATTGCTTTCATTAAAGAAGTTTATTTGATTTACACCGCTAATGAAGTCGATTTACCCTACAAAGATCCTTCGAAGTTTCCAACTTAGTTAAGAATAAATTAAAGGAAATTACACTAAAAATGTGGAAAACAATAAGGCAAAATATATTTTCCAATAGGGAAATAATCGAAACTTTTTAAAATGTTTGTTTTTTATAAATAAATATTATAAATAATTTTTTTTGAATTTTCTGCATTTTTCTTGATAAATTAATAAGCTTCGCTGAAACTTTTACAGAACTGTCTGACACATAAATCAACTAATGCCAATGGAAACCATCAAATTTGATTAGTAATAAATTGATTTAGCTACAGCGGTAGCATAGTATAAAATTATTGATACATATGAACCACTTAGTATATATTAAATTTTATAACAACGATATTAAATTTTCTGATCTCACATATTAGATGCTTATCATTTTTATATGTTTTAAAAAAATTAAAAAATTTGCTTTCATAGCATAATAGTGCTATATTTGAGCAATAAGCTTGTATGTGTACAATATTCAATGTAATAATTCTAAGTAGTTTTCTACAGGTATGTTTCATATAACATATATCAAATGTATATTCTTATTATAACGCATTACTTTTGTAAATATTTAAATAGCTCATTTATACTATTATATAGAAGAGCTTTTCCATATTACATGCAAAAATATCTCAATAGTGCAATAAACAAGTTATTTATCATTTAACTTTTGTATGTGTATTATTTAATTACATATATCAATATTCATTATTTTATTTTATTGTTCAAATATTCTACAGCTGGTTTATGATTTCGTTTTAATATAAACACAGCAAGTGAATATGTTAATAAAACTTTCACAGCAAAGTAACAAAACTCCAAAGTGCGAATATATGAGACAAGTACGGTTTTGGGACAGTTGGCTAATAAACACTGACTCTAAGCTTCAAATTTGGCAGGGCAAGAGTTTATCCCTTGGTACTTGCAGTCACCAAAACTTAAATATAAAAAATAATACCAAGACCACTGATGTTGGGTACAGTTGTATGGTCAGCTAAAAAACGCAATTAATTAAAAGAATATAAAATAAATGTTTGTTGTTGTAGTTTACTACTGTTCGAAAAACCTTTCTATTATTTTATTTAGAATATTCTATTAATTAAACAACAATTAATCGCTTTGTATGTATTACCGGACTTAATTTTGTTACTTGAATTTATATTTTTCAGAAGGGTAAAGTGCACAAAGTAATACAGTTAGTAAATCAAAGCTTATGGCATGTCCATTTTAACTATCCAGAAAGAATAGAGTTTAATACCAAAACAAAAGTAAATTTTATACAAGTGAGTGCATTCATGTCATATTTTTGTTAACTAACAGATTTTTTAAATGCTCATGACGTTTGTAGCTTAAAGCTTTGTGTTCACTTTTATTACAAATTTTTTCATTTTGAAAAATTTTTCGTTATATACTTTTAAAAAAATATTCTCACAAAGCAAAGAAAAATACTTTAAATACTGTGGTTGAAATGCAAGCGGGAATTTCGTTACTCATACTCAGTGACTTACGGAAACTATTTTACACAGTTCGTTTACTAAATGTTTATGGTTCATTCCAACAATCTCTTTTTAAAGAATATAAAAAACCTTAGTGAAAACTTGCTAAATAGTTTAATTTAAATTTTTTACAGATAACTATTAACATTTCCACGGAATTCTTTATTCATCTTACTGCATTTGCAGAATTATTTAACTGTTTAGAAAATATTGCATGCAATTTAGCTGTATTTATATTAAAAAAAATATATTTTTTCGTTTTTATAAACTTTTATCTATTGAAAAAAATATTTATTTTCGTTTTTATAAACTTTTATCTACTGAAAAAATTTTAAGTCTTTCTTTATTGTGTATTTATTTATTATTCTTTTAAGTTAGTTTAACAACTTAAATTTAATTTAGGAAATATAAAACTATATTGGCATGAAACTGTAAAAATTACAGAATTCTAATATAACTTTTATGATTACACAATATTGAATTAAATTTTTTTTTTTTTAAATAACTTTTGCATTTTCATTTGTACGAAATAAACATAGAACATTTTTTTTTATTTCGCAAAAATCCTTCGTACAGTGTTGCAAAGGAAGATATTTTCATCCGCTTGGGATTCTGAACAGAAATTGCAGATTTTGACAAAATTGAAGATTTGTTATGAAATGAAAATTTATTTTTTGTGCAAATTTACTTACGAGATACGAGTAACTTGAGCCCTATTGAGTAGAGCTGAGCTGAGCTAAGTTTATTTGTTTGTTTATTTGCTTCTTGATGACATACCAGGACATACATACGAGCATGTCTTTTGGCTGCAACTTCTGAATTTGATGTTTTATGAGCTCTAAAAGGTTACATGAACTTGTACATGTAGCATTGCAACATTTTCTTAGAAAAAAATTTTTTGAAGTAGATTGAAATATTGCACATATTTGGAAGGATAAAGATAGTTTATATTCAATAGATTTATAGTTGATGTTTGAAAGGATCAACGCCAAAAAATTTAGATGTGCAATCTTTATTCCTGGTTATTTATTTTAAAAGGGACTATTTGGGACTATTTTATTAAAATGTATTAAAATCACAGATGATTAAATTTCTTCTGTTACACCTAATTATCATTTTCATTAATACGCGGGTACCGGAATGCAAACGATATACAGAACATGAAGACAACGCTTATCGTTAATTAATTAATTAGCAATTTTAAACTATAGTGAAAAAACTTAGGTATTGAGAAAACTTGAAAACTGTTGAGTGAGCGATCTGTAAAAACACTGGTAGAAGATTTATCAATGCATTCAATATAGTCTCAAATTAACTTTTTATTGATGGTACCACAATTCTGCAATAATATCTATGGTTATGGTTGGTGGGTTGAAGTGGCAGGCCGCTAGATAACTTCCATGTACCTCAATTAGCGATTTTTTGACGTTTTACTAGCACATTCCTCGCAAGAAACCTAGTATAGAAGAGTAGAGACTAAATCCATCCCGCCGAAATTATATAATTTAATAGGTCTTTTGCCTTCACCGATAAACAGTTTGATGAACTATTAAAGAAGTGTCTTCCTAAGAATCTTTATCTTCTGAACGACAAAGCCGGGCATTCACAGAGAAAATTTATTATGGTTTCTTTGTCCTGCGTGTTTCCACAATTTATGCAGTGAGGATGTGCAGTTTCTCTGCGTGGGTTCCTACACACCAATGACTAGAAAGTACTGCAGTAAGATTTGCAGTGTTCACGCGGTCTTTTTTGATGAGTTCCGTAGATATAGTTTTATTATAGGTGGGCTATGTTAACCTGAAAGTTCCATATGACTTAAGTGCTTTCCATCTGTTATTGGCAAGTTGCAGAAAGTAGAAGAAGGTACTTCTCTTAATGGTCCCTAGGGTAATATAAACCGATACCGTCGATGATACATACAAGAAAGCACCGGAACGGGCTAAACTGTCAGCTTCCTGTCGTTCTCTTCGATGTTCCCAACCGATTTAGCTCGTCGATCGCTTCCCTATATTCATTTATTTTATCTTTGATTTTGTTGCGAAAGATTCAAGGGTTTTGATTGCTGCCTCACTGCCTGGCTGAGTTGCAATTTGTCGACAAGTTATAGTACAAAACGTTTTATTCTTAAATATCTCCTCTTAAGCGTTTATGTGAACTGCGATAAGGGCAACTAAGATAAACCAATATTTAAAAAAGCGTAATTTAAGGAAATATAAATTCGAATTATAATATTATTAATGTTATCACTTTATTATTGTCATAAAATCATATGTCATATACATAAAATGTATATATCAGAGTCATGTAAGAAATCAGTCAATTGTTATTGAAATTCTTTTTTAGCGAGGTTAATTTTCACAAATAATTTTTCATATTAATACAGTTATCATAACAGTGAATTATAAAAACAATTTTAATAAATTATAAACTATTGTGGTACTAGTTTATCCCTTAACATTTTATACAAATTGGATTCAACAGTAGTGTCTATAACTTGACGACTTTTTCGCAAATAAATTTTACGATTAGCTTTTGCTTGCAGGGAACGATAATTATTCTCAAGAATTACTCCATGACTATCAGATAGACTATGAAAAACATGCATTTGCGAGGGTGAAATTGTTTTGATATCTGTAAAAACAATCCAAGTAACGGCTTGCGAACATGGTGGAGTTGTCAGTGATCCCTCATATGTAAAAAATTCTGTTGTCTTTAAATTGCCAAGAAGAGAGGAAAGTGTAAAATTATATATATGAGTTGTGTCTTCGTATGCGGTAGTAAGACTTATTGCTTTTAGTACCACATCAAAGTCTTCTAAATATGGTGCGGATTCCTAAAACATATATTTTTAAATAAATATTTATAAATCTTTAACATATCGAACTTACTTGTGTTTGGAAGAGCACAGCGAGAACTGTTAGTCCATCTATATAATTTGATGCTTCTGCCACAGTTGCATATTTACTATTTTTGTGAACAATATGCATTTCCAATGAATAACGTCTTCCATCGATAACATGTTCAGATCCGTGTGCATCTTTCGAACCCCAATGAAAGTGGAAACTTTGTGGTATATAGTAACCATTTGGCAATGGTCCATCATATATATATGGGAATTGTGAATCATGAGGCAACCACTCGCTATTAAGATATGCTGGTAACTGCGAATCTACTGTATGTCCAGTATTTTGTGTAACGACTGGATCTTTGTAGGTAACATCATAATTTACAAAATTAAGTGCAGGTATAGAATAAGATGTTGTAGCCTGAAATAAAATGCATAGTTACTTAGATAAACTTTTTTTATGTCACACACTTTTCTATCTTTATCTTTTTATTAAAAACAAAAACCTCAATGTGAAACTGAAAGTTACAGGGTTATGATCACTTTTCATTCAATGAAAATTTTTTATATGCAGAAAAGTAAATAATATTAATGACAATGACGATGACTAGTAATATTGTATATTTAACATAGCTGTCAATTCTCCATATAAACGTTAGATATCATTTTTATATGATATAAACGTATCCAAACATTATGACTTATCTTATCGGTGCTTAATGATAAATTAAATATGTAATATATTTTACAAAAAAATTTTTTTAAATATCATGTTTTAATAGATTATTAGATTATCTGTCTAGAACTCACTAAGCGCATATTTTGAGTGAAAAGTTGTTTAGTAAAAATACTCAAAATATAATAATCTCATTTCAAGCTTGTCAAGTGAATACTCAACTTTAAACCAAAATAAGCTTTTTAAAATTTTGTTTTTTTTAAGCCAATTAAGAAACAAAAGACTCTGTTTTCTTTCAAAAAGAAACTTAATTAGAGCGGTTTTGGAATAGTAATGAAAATATATAGCTTATTTTCGTAAGATTTTAATCATTTAAAATGCCATTGTGAATTTATTTTAATTTTATTGTCATTTAAAAAATTTCTCACATTTCTTGACTAATCTGCAAATCATTTAGTGCTAAATAGTAAAAAAATTATTGCTCTTGTTTAATACGAAAAAGTCGTATTTAGATAATGATAATGGTAGAAACATTACCATTATCGGCACTACAATCGAGTAGTCGGACGTACGTCATCCTTACAGTATCGCTGTCGGTTATTTTAATTGCAGTAAACAAGTAATTTTTAAACAGGCTACACTCAAGAGAAGGTAGTAAATGAACGACCCACTGTATTCTACCGATCTTTATTTTTTGTCAACTTTTTGCGTTTCAAGACAGATTGTGAACAGTTGATGGCTTTATCGTTTCCAGACCCGCTTATTTAAAACCGTTTTTATATTTACAACTTTTTGTTATATGACATCATATTTCACTTCATCATATATACACTATTCCAAAAATTTGTTTTTATTCGAAAATAATAGATGATAATACTCACTTCATTAGAGTTCAATTCTATAGGTGACTGACGATCTGAATTGCAGTCCGGGTATTCATCATACCATTTTGCTTGTTGTTCATGACTGAATCCTTCAGCTATTTTATCAAAACAATCAAATCAAATATTTGAGAAAATAAATATGTTAATATATATATATTTTTTGAAACAAATTACCATAGAGAATTAATAATAACAAACATATTGTTGAAGATTTGTATAATTTATTCATAACTTTTTTCTTTCAGAAGTAAAACAATCTTCACTGTGCAAATGACAAATCACAAATAATGAAATTATGGCTACTCTGCGTTGATTTTAAAATATCTTTAATGCCCGAAGTTTTTGATAAAATTTTCACTTGAAGTTTTACTGCTTAAACAATAAAAAAATAATTGATAAAACTGCTCACGAGTTAAAAAAGTGTTTAACATTTTAAAAATCAATAAAATTTTTATATATTTTAAATGACAAAAACCGTTTTTAAATGATAAGTTTTAGTTCCACAATATAGATCAGTAGAAAATAATATTTTTTACTACCCTGCAGTGAATTTGCCGCTGTAACTTTATCTAAATATTATTGTCCTTTATATAATATAACATTAATTAATTATTATATATCTGTTAATGCATATATTATGATATAAATTTTTATAGTTACATGCCACTTTCTAACATTATATATATTGATTTAAAAAAAACTATTTATATCTAAAAATTAAAAACCTTTTGGGAAACTTCTTTGTTTAGAGTTGTTCTATAACATAATCCAACCCATGTTGTTGCTCGTATGCATTTATCGTTATTTCATCGTTACCATATATTAATGAGTTCAGATATGTAGACACTAAAATACACTGAAATTAACTGATCTCCGCGATATGATCACTACAAAAGTTCACTACTTTGATGTGTTTAGAACTTTATTTAGTGTAGTGTTAATGTAGATTTTTTTAACATAAATACGCAACAGTATACTATGTTTGGTACTTTGTTGTTTATTTTCGTTCAATGCTTTGTACACTTTGTAAAAGTCACTTGAAACCTTTATATCAGAGTACAGAGTATTGTAAGTGTATTGATGCTACACCTATTTTACGCCCAGGTGTGACTATGTACTCACTTAAGTAATACTATTAAAACCGTAATCATATTAAAGCTAAAAATGTCTCATTTTCCTACGCTAATTTTTTCAAATATATTTTGGCCATCAAGCCAGGATCTCTGGAAACAGAACCAATCAAGTAGTAAGCTTGAAGCACACAACTAAGTAGATTGGTACTACATTTTATTCAATTTAAAAGTTTTAAAGTTGCTTAGAAATATAACTGCTAATATCTTGACTGTTTGTGAACTTCTGATGTGAGACTTATTTAATTTAAACAAATGAACAATGTCTCATTAGGTGGATTTAATATTCTTACTATCGGAAAGACTTCAGTCGGAGTTTGTGTGTACAGTTCATCCTTAACAGTTTTGTTCTTCCAAAAATATTAGTGAGGTATTATAGTATTAAAAAACAACTTTAAAAACAGTAGCTTAAATCTAATTAAAGTTTTCTACACAAATATACATATTGTTCATTGCCTCAGCAAACCAAACTAAGCATTGCAGATACCTGTTCGTTATAGGCAGTACAACCAATACACAAAAACGATTTAACTCGATAAACATGATATACAAATATGGAATTCTAAAGTCTTCGTTGGTTTTCAGTCTTTGTAGCTAGTGCTATAATATCGATTAATAAAACTTGAAACAATTTTACACAATAGAATTTTTGCTACTTTTTGTAATTTTTATTGTTTTCAATATGTATTGGTTCAAATATATATAGATTAATATATAATATAAAGGTTCATATACACAAACTTTATATATATTCATATATATATGTTACCTAAAACGTGGGTTAATATATACTAATATATAGTACCATAAAGGTTCTTACTTTTAAGTGTATCGCAACCCATTTTTCTTTTCCATTATTGGAACTTCGACTATGCTTAGACTTGACAGATGTTATATTTCAGTGGTTTTAGGGAGTATGTCTTCATTTTCAAAATCAAACATATTTAATTAGCAATTCTTCAACCTAATCTATATTCTATAGAAATATCTTTTAAGTTGTTAAATAACATCTTTTAGTATTTAAATTGTTATAAGCGAAAGCTGAAAATTGAGGTTAAAAATTTGAATACCAATAGGCAATATTTTTTATTATCTCATAATCGAGTATAAATATTTGCAAAATTTCTATCAGTATTCACACCCCAGTTTAAATATCATGAACTGATTTGTTTAAAATTTTATCAATTTATTTTATGAATGACCGAATGACTGTTCTTTTTTGACTAAATATCATTCAATAAAAATATTGGTTGAAAAACCCGAAAATGTATTTATGACCATCATTGCAATTAAGAACTGGTTAAATCTAAATCAAAGTATTTAAGGTAATTACGATAGTTAATAAAATTTTATTTTACCTTTATTTATTATATCAAAAGTGCAAAATGCTAAAAGCGCGACAATTATTATTTTATATTCTATTAAGTAAATAATAAATTTTCTGAAATGCATTTTCAACTAAAAACTAGTTGTGTCTACGTCGAAGCAGTTATATAGCAAAGTTAAATATTGAAATTATGAGAGATAATAAAATTTTATTTGGATTATAAAATATTATATCAAAATTTTGCATAAGTAATTACATGGGTGTGAAGTAAACTTATTTAATTTTTTTATTCAGTCTAAATATAATTATATTTGTTGAATTGTAAAACAGCTTTATATGTACGTCACACTGAGCACAAAAATACAAATATGAACTAAATAAATTTCTTACATATTTATTCTTATTCTATGTAATATATATTGACCTAAAAATTAACTTTAACTTTAACTGGGCATATCTCTAACGTCATGCAAATTACTACTGAGTTCTTTGCGTACTGAATTTTGTTAATAAAAGACGAGAAGACTCAACGATATGAAGGTATATGTATGCAATCTGGCCACGTTCCGATAAAAGGAAAAATCGTGGCCAGAATCGTGACCCAAAATTCTCAATGAGATACCCCATAGAGATGTCGGTCTTTTGGTAGGTTTATTTACGGATCACTGTAAATTAAGTAACCTTGCTAGAAGATTAAGTCTCCCTTTCAATCAAATCTGTCGCAGCTGTGGGTAAAACGATGAGATTGCCTCTCATCTACTACGTTTTTGCCCAGCTAATGCACGGCGGCGACTTAATAGTCTAGGAGCCTCCTTTCTTGAGGACCTTAACCAATTACAGTACCTGACACTAGTTAGCATTTTATGTTTCGCCAAAGGTTCTAGGTGGTTTTAAACCATGAATTTTTCCTATATATACGGTAACATAATAGGCCAATAGGCTTAAGTGGATAAACTAGGGATCGCCGGTATAACCCAACCTAACCTAATTTACTTTAAATACTATGCAAAAACACATAGATGAACTAATATATTTTTTTAACAATACAACTTAAAATTTTACATACTTAAATGAAATTTAATCACGTAGGTATTAAAAATAAATTTTTCTATATTTTTTTTTTCCTGCTTAGTTGCATTAAAAAAAAAATATAGATGTGTAGTAATGAAAGTCTGTGTAAATAATAATTGAAATGATCACTTTTCGAAATTGTTCTGATTGAACTAAGCTTTAACCTCAAATTTTCTTCAAATATTAATAAGTAAAACCACAAAATATTTCTTTACCAATTATGATTTTATTAAGAATTTTGAATAATTTATTAATTATTCTTATTTATTTAATTATCATCACTTTTCTAAAATGTGTTCGTTATTTTTAACACAATTTTTATTGACTTGTTACTCTCACTTGACCCACATTTCAATGCATGTCCATGTCTTTGTTTTATTTCGGCTCAGTTATCTCATTAGTTTTTCTTTTAAAGCTGATGATTCATCGTTCCATTAATAATTGTTTTATAAATCCACACACCATATATAATTATTTCGTACACATATTTTTAAACAATTATATCAGTTATATCTATACAACATATTTAGGTTACTGAATTAAGATTATCTGCATTGAACTGACTCCTATGAAATGGTATATCAGCAGGTTGTACAGAAGAAGGAAAAACCTCATCCTTACCCATTAACCTGTTATATTTATTTACTAATTCCTTAAATCTTCTCTTAGCCTCAATTTGTTTACGCTGTGAACATTTCAAGCGATAAAACTCTTCACGTGCAAGTTCGTCGAGTTCTTGATTGATATAGGCAACTGTATTAATAAGTTTTGGAATCATTACATATTCTAAACCATTGACACGCATATTATTTTGACGAACATGATCGGTTAATACTTTAACTGAGATTTGAAGTGATGCCATACGGACGAGCACTTTGAGTGCTTCTTGAAATTTATTCCGAATCTTTCCTACTTGTTCTCCGCCTCGTGAAAGACCAGTTAACGGATTATTTGTTGCATTCCACATAATTAAATTAAATGAAGGTAATTTCATTCCTAAAACTTTACCTTGAATTATGCGTAGAAAACAATCTGCACGCTCTGAAGTATTAATTTCAGCAGGTTTAAAATCAGTCGAAAGAAAATTTCCTTTTGCTAATGCAAATATTGCATCTCTCATAACAATTGGTATTTGATCTGCCGTTTCCTGCTGCAATCTCTGATATTCTTTCAGTTTCATTTCCATTGCATCACGTTTTCGCTTTAATAAACCAAGACCTCTCACTGCAGAAGCATGACGTAGCTTCATAAACACTAAATTTGCACGTGAGGGAAACAATGGAAATTTATCTTTACTCATTTTGCAGAACTAAAGTATAGTACAACAAGATCTTAAAACTGAAGGAAAAATGTTGCCAAATTATGAGGTCTTAGAATTGTAACAGTCTTGCCTTTATAAAACTTAAATTTTGATATGGATTTTAAGAACCAAAAAAAAATATATAGTCAAAAATCAAAATATTGTAGTATATCTTTGAGTCTTGACTGACACAATTGCGCATAGCTACTAGATAAAAAAAAATAGTTTAATTATTAGTTTTAAAATCAAATTAATTATTTTTAAATAATATAATTTATATCTGGGGGTTATTTTTGACAAACGGTTCAATTGGCTTAAACATTTGAAATACAAACGGAATAGCTGCTCTAAGATTCTACATTTATTAAAGCCGTTATTTAATAATTATCATTTCAACTTTAAAAACAGAAAGTTACTTTATAAGCAAGTAATTAGACCAGCACTACTGTACGGATGTGTTACATATAGCAAAGCTTCAAATGCTACGTTAAAGCAATTACAGATAGCTCAAAACCTGGCTTTAAGAAGACTGTTTAAGATTCCATGGTATATTAGATCAACAGACATACATAGAGATCTTAGGATTGACTTAGTGAAAAAATATATCAGAGACAGAGCTCACTAAAGTTGATACGCTACTTAACCCCGCCCTAACAATACTCAAGTCCACTTCTGGATTCTCAGGAAGATATGCTGATTTAAGGTCCGTCATCAACTAAAAGACAAATAAATGATATGATTTCTTAGCCTAGTTAAAGCCTAGTGTGGGGTAGTGATAAGCCCCCCAGTCATTATAAAGTAAAAGTGCGCAATAGCACTAACTCAAGAACAAGAAAAAGAAAGAAAAAAAAATTTATATTATTTGAGAGTAAAGTTGGCATAATATTAGTTGATCTCATAAATCGTTGAATACTGCAAATAGCTTACTTGTTATTTTCATTACTATAACCTATTTATTATTTAATGTGTTCATAAAAAAAAAATACTACAAAATTTGCTAATGCATATTAACGCATAATTTAATTATTAAAACTGTTTGTTATTAAAACTGTTTGCTTGCTTAAAATGATTTTAAAAGTTTTTTCCACTTACCTAAGAGCATTATCTGCAAGTACCATATTTCTGTGTAGATACTTTTCTAACATCATTTTGTTGACATAAATTAAGTTTATGTATCTTCTAAACAATGAACGAAAGTTCATAAATCCTTGTTATGAAGCTGAGCTCACATTTGTCAAGCTATGAACAATCGTATACCTATGAATATTTTGCATGTACCATACATGAAAATTACTTGGAGTTGGAAAGATTAATGTACAAACACGTTTATTACTTGTATATATTTTCTGAAAATTATATTGAATTTAATTACTGATTTTCGGTTAAAAATAAATTAACTATATTTGCGTTTAATTTTTAATATAAGAACTCGATATTATATCTTTAAAGGAATTGTGATCAAAGGGTTGACATATTCATGTCGTATAGTCGGGTACTCTTACTGACGAAACCTGGTTATTACGTCTTCCGTATATGAAATTTGGGATGGGAAGAAAGTGATGGTAAGAGAGATGTAAACGAAAATAGCCACTCATTATTTTAAGTTTTAGAACTTATTACAGTAAGCTACCGTATAACTTCATTTTTGTTATCATAAAACTATAATAATTTTGCAGTATATTTTTAACTTAAATATAACTAAAACTGACGTAATAAAATTAAATGAGATAGTGTAAAAATTACATAAAATTAAAGCGGTTATCCTTTCTATAAAAGTCGCGTTTGTATGTAGTCAACAAAATCAAGTCCAAGTCCAACAAAGTTTTCAGAATTTTACGTAATTGACACTTTTAACAAAATCCAACTCGATCCAAAAGATGGCCATATAATCAACAATTCCATAGGATATTCTCTCCTTTTTATATATGTTGCATATAAAAATATTTTTACTAAAACATATAAAAACAAAAACAACAACACACAAATGCGGACACAAAACAATGGTGCAAGAGTGCAACGTTTTATTACTGCAACACACGAAACAGAACCGTTTATCAGGACGACAAGGATATAAAATGCAAGTGATAGTTGGGTAAGTTTTTTTTTTCGGTTTCGTATTTGCAACTATTTTGTTTTGGTACTGACACGTGACACAAAAAGCAGGAAACAGAGTAACAAAGGATACTGTATTTCCGCTGGCGTCACGCCATTTTACACGCCATTGTATCTTTTATACATTTGTTTTTGTATTTTTACAGTAAGTGTGTGTGTATGTATGTAATCTAGTGTCAATGAATGTTGAGCTGTGATGAGATGTCACTGATGTGGGCAGATAAATGGATTTTGTTTTAATTTTTTAAACATCATTTGACCGAATTTTGATTATATATTTAAATAACAGTGAGTTCAGTTGTTTTAAATAAATTATTCATATAAAGCCAATTGTTTTAGGGTCGGTAATTGTAATTGCTGTTAATATGTTCTATGGAATATAAGGAATAGAAAATAGAGTGCTGTGCTAGTAAAATGTAGAGTACTTGAAAATTTGCTCCAAATATTAAATTCTGTTTAAAAGTCACATACGTTTTAATAATTGGGAAAAAGAATTTTGTATGTTAGGTAAACTTAAATTATAGTTTATAAATATAACCTAAAAACTTCAAAGTTATACTAAACAGCAGGCTGTGTTTTAGAATATAAAATAAATATTTTAAGTTTCCAGTTTTCTATATAGGATTTGAGGACCCATACAAAATTTCTCAAAACTTGCATATCTTTAATCAATGTAACATATAAATACCTATATACTCGATAGCAGTAAAATCTAATAGCTATGAAATAAAAGCAATGTATAGACTACCACACTATAGCATTTTACAAGCGATGATACAAGCATTTGATAAAGTAACAGCCGTATTACTGACTGAATGAAAATGAACTTCAAGATCTCTTAGCCAAACACTGTTTATTTTAACATTTATTCTAGTAACATATGGAATAATAGAATTTTTGACACTTTACTATAGTGAAGTAAAAATAAATATCATATTGAACAGCAAAAAAGAAAAGACAAGTCCCAAAAACTATCATACCAAACATTATAGTAAAAATTCATATCAAATAAAAATAAATAAATTTTTTTTTCTTACGGTGACTATTATATTTAATGGAAACTTCGAAAAACTTCTTTTTATTAATATATTCTTCATAACAGTTGATAGATTTTTCTATTAAGATATGTACTATTAAGAGTATGAAAGTGATTTTTCAAACTTTTTATAAGTCAGAAGAAGGCAAATATAAAAAAAGATTAACATGTATGTATAACTCAGTATTACGACACAATATTTGCTAAGAAAAAAAAGGAGATGTCTGGCCGCAGATCGAAAATCACAAAAGCATGGCCTAAAATGTCATGAAATGAATTAAAAAAAACCTCTTCGAAGTAAATGAGTTAGCTTACTGAACAAAGAAGTTATCTCAAATTTTATATTTAAATATATTTAATAACAGTTTCTATATTCAACAAACAACGACCAGAAAAATTGGAAATAATAGTATTTAGAACTATCAAAAAAGCATAGTATGATATGGTTAATTATGTTTAAGTACTTTTTATATTGTTTTCTTTTTATCATAAAAACAAAACAAATATTTTGAACAAAAAGAATTTCCAAAGGAAAATAAAATTACATCAAGGACGATAAAAGTGCATCACGCAAACGTTTTTAATCATAAGATGAAAACTATTGAAACCAAC